TCCGCCTCCCGGGTTCAAGTGATTCTCCTGCTTCAGTCTCCTGAGTAGCTGGGATTACAGGCACGTGCCGCCATGCCTAGCTAATTTTTGTATTTTTTTTTTTTTTTTTGGAGATGGAGTCTCACTCTGCCGCCAGGCTAGAGTGCAGTGGCGCCATCTCGGCTCACTGCAAGCTCTGCCTCCCGGGTTCACGCCATTTTTTTGCCTCGGCCTCCCGAGTACCTGGGACTACAGGCGCCCGCCACCATGCCCAGCTAAAGTTTTTGTATTTTTAGTACAGAAGGGATTTCACCATGTCGGCCAGGATGGTCTTGATGTCCTGACCTTATAATCTGCTCACCTGGGCCTCCCAAAGTGCTGGGATTACAGGCATGAGCCACCGCGCCCGTCCAAGACTGGTGTTTAATTCCCAAGGCCACTCACTGTGGTTTGAGCATGTGCCACAGCCTATGCTCGGGTTGATGCCCCACATTCCCATGGTTATCCAAAAGAGGCCCTGAGACTCACAGTGGCCATTATTAATACTCTGAGCTTGCAGCAGCAGTGGCAACTGAAAATCTACAAGCATCGGAAGAAAGAGGTGTTGCGGAGAGGAACCACAACCATCACAAACCTGGAGGGCTGGGTGGGCCACCCCCTGGATCCATTGACTGCCTGTTTCTCACTTTGACTGAGGCCTGCCTCCTGAATGATGACGGCTGTCTAAATATGAGTGAAAGCAGACCCCCTGTGTACCAACATGTACCTGTGGCTGTAGGCTCCCCAAACAGCAGTGAGTCCTACTTATCATTGGCCCTGGAAGCTGCATCCATGGGCCTGGGTCATAGAGGGTAATGCCTGAAGGCTCCTACCCACAGGACAAGGTGTGCAGTAATGAGGAGCAGCTCCTCGGCCAACTCCAAGAGCTGGAACTGGGTGAAGACTTAGTGCAAACACTCCAAAAATAGAGCATCTTGTTGCTGGAAGGGGGCCCTTTCAGCGATCTGGGAGAAGTCATCCACTGAGAGAGCATTTCCATGCATACTTCTGCCAGTATTTGTTCCCTAGTTCTGCTGTCTCATGATCCAGACCCGGCCTATAAATTAGCCTTACGTGTCATAAGGTTACCTGTTTTAGAAAACTCAGGTTGTGCAGGCAACACATCCCTCCCTCACCTTGTGGTGTCTCTGGTGTCCAGCAGTTATCCTCCCTGGTTCCCGCTTGTACACTTGGAATCAAAGTGGTGGGAACTGGCCTCCACCATGCTGACTGCTGCCAAAGGAGACACTTTGAGGCTCTGAACAATTCCGGAAGCAATGCAGAGGCACATTTGTTCTTCCTCCCTCATCTTCGAACTGGCTGAAAATGCATTTAAGATTGCTACTCCCACTAACAGTAGTACTGACAGCACCCTGCTCAACGTGGCCCTGGAACCTGGGCTACAGGTGATGCGGATGACCTTATCAACCCTTAACTGGAGACCCCGAGAGATAGTACAATGCTTGGTGACCCGTGCTACAGAAGTGGGTATCTCCCACCTCCCTTTACCCCCAGGGGAAAGGAGTTTCTACACCCTACTCTTGGGACGGGACAACGAATCCATGGATCTCTCATATTCCTATTCTTGATGGCCTAAGAAAGGAGGGGGCTGCTGGTAGGAGAAGATGGCCTCTGTTCAGCCAGCCCAAGTTCTGTCCTCACTGCTTTAACCAACCATATGCTGACGTCAGCAGCACTTTGACCCTCACATGGGAGACACGTCTAAGAGAATGAATTTTCAGCTGCCAATACTCAAGTGCACCCTTGGGAGGTAGTGGGCCTGGTGGTTTTGTCCCCATCCCTGTCCATGCTTGTGGGAAACCCCAGACACCTTGGAGGATCATGACCCTTTCTAAAGCCCAAAGGCCCAGCACAAGATTCTACCCTGAGAGGCCCCAGTTCAGCTAGAACCCCTGGCAGATCCGCCACTCTGGCCCCGGGGCAAGCAAACCCCAGGCTCTACTGCTCCATCCTTGTGAGGGGCTAAGAGCACCTGCAGAAACCTTCAACCCTCTGGCCTGGAGACAGAAGGGATAGGAAGAGACCCCAAGCAGGGTCTGGCCATCTGGGATGCTTCTCTTGCCCTGGTTTGCCTCAGATCATCTCAAGGTTGCTGAAGAGGAAGGAGAACTCATCTCTGCTGGCCAAGTTGGAACCCCACACAGTAATCTGAGCAGACCTGAATCAGGACCCAGATGGCCACGGCTGAGCTCAGGCACTGGCCTGACAGGTGTGTGGGCCCCAGTGAGCATCTTGCAGAGCTGGGACACACTCTTCACCCTTACTGAGGCTACTAGTATTGTAGCTGCCACAGCCGTATCCCACACCACTATCCTGCGCCTCAGTCTTAACTATCCACAGCAGGAGGAACTGGCTAGCTGTGCTTGCACACTGGCCTTGCAGCGTGCTATGAAGCATCCACAGAACTGTGCCCTGTCATCAGCCCTTACACTCTGAAAAAGACCACATTGCCTTTGAGGCCGCCTGCCAGATTGCCACTGAGGCTGCTGCCGGTGGCACGCCCCATTCCCAGCTGTTCCCCATTGCCTCCTACATGCACCTCTGTGGCTGCAGCTCCGCGCCTTCAAGCTGGCCTCATTGGCCATGAGCCATCTTAACCTGGCTCTTAACCAGGATACCCACACAGCCATCAATGATGTGCTCTGTGTTTATGCCCTCAGCCACTGTCTGGGCAAGAATGAGCTGGCAGTTCTCATCCCCCTGGCGGTGAAGAGTGTGCACATCACCATGGTGCTTTCAGACATCCTGTGTGTGAGGTTGCATGGTGACTGCATTTGGCCTGGTGGGCATCCCAGGCCGCCGCAGCTCTGGAAAGCTCATCTCCACTGACAGAGCTCCATTGCACCAGTTGCTGATGCCACCATCAATGCTTACATCAACACCCCACACTACACCTAACATACATCAGCCATTGCCGGTATGGACAGTTCATTGGGTTTCTAAGCAAGGCTCGGGAGACCTTCCTGCTGCCCCAGGATGACTACCTGTAATTTGCCCAGTTCATCAACAATCTCAAACAGATCTACAAAGGCAAGAAAAAGCTGCTGCTGCTGCTTCAAGAGCCCTTTGGCTGAGAAAGCAGGTAGCTCACCGGCCCTGCAGGCTGGGTCCCCAGGAAGTATCAGGTCAGGTCAAAAACACTGAACCATTTGTCCTCCCTGAGTCTGGCTGAGGCCAAAGGACCACAGTTCTAAGGATGGGGAGAGTCCAACTCCAGTCGATATGCGTGTCTTGGCAAGCTTCTCACTACAGCCCACTGTTAATGGAGAAGCTGGGCCCTGCAGATCGACCAGAAACCCCACGATATGCCACCTTCTGCCCTGACGTCCTGCGTGGCCTGGGCATTGGCCCTGTCTCCCTTGGCAAACACAGAACACTGTTCTATCTCAGAGATTGCTGTACCAGAGAAACAGATGCATTTATGGTACTGTAAATACTATAGTATATGTGTAAAGTCATAAATATTTGTAATCCTGGTTCTGATTTGATGGGCCCTTGAGGTAGCTGTGGGTGGAGGATGTGCTTATTGTCTGAGGAGACTCACAACCATTTCTCAGGTTTCCCTTGCAGAGTGTTTGCCCTTCCTAGTGGGACAGTGGAGGTGCCAAGGAGAAAAATGGCCAGTTAGAAAAAAATCCCAAGACTAGTCTATGCAGAATCTCTCACCTGCAGACAGGGCATTAATAGCCCAGTGGTGGGTGAACAGCAGAGGCCAGGACTGGACTTAGACTTTTGCCTCACAAAGCTGTGAGGACTCTGAAGCTCCTCCCCTGCCTCACACAGCCTCGCCAGGAGTCTGCTGAGCACCTTTGAAACAAGTGCAGGGAAAAGATGAAGGTCGGGGAAGCTACTGAGCTCACAATATTAATCACCCTTGTGTCAGAGTGTGTGTATCTGTATGACTGAGTACACGTGTCTATGTGCATAGATAAATCTGCGCATGCCTGTCTGTATGTGCACATTATATGTTTATTTGTATGTGTGTCTGTTCTATGGCTGCGTACCTGTGTGGATATGTGCACACTGGACTGTGGGTCTCTGTGTGAGGATGTAACATTTGCATATATGTGAGGATGCATATCTATGTGTAACTGCTCTCATGTTTTGCATGTTTAGTGTGTGTGTATCTGGACACACATGAGCGCATGTGTAGAAATATGTGTCTGTTTGTATGCTTGCTCTCCATGCATCTGTATTTTTATATGTGTAACTGAGTGTATTTCTACATGTAGAGATGACTGCATGTTCATCTTTGAGGATGTGCATGAATGTGTCCTTTTTGCAAGATTTCTCTTCCCATTTGTCTTAAATCTCTCTCACCAGCTAAATGTTTGTTCCCCATCTCTGTGCCTCCTCTATTCATTCTCTCCCCAAACGAGCTTCTAAGGACCAGTCTCCCTCTGCAATCAGATTGGCTGCTTTCGCTGCACAGTTCTCTTCTCACCCCGTACTTGCTTTTTCCCCCCGCCTTTCTTTTCTCTCTCTCTCTTTTTTTTTTTTTTTTTTTTTTTTGAGATACAGTCTCACTCTGTCGACCAGGCTGGAGTGCAGTGGTGCAGTCTCAGCTCACTGCAAGCTCTGCCACCCGGATTTACGCCATTCTCCTGCCTCAGCCTCCAGAGTAGCTGGGACTACAGGCGCCCGCCACGATGCCCGGATAATTTTTTGTATTTTTAGTAGAGATGGGGTTTCACCGTGTTAGCCAGGATGGTCTCAATCTCGTGACCTTGTGATCCACCCGCCTCCGCCTCCTGAGGTGCTGGGATTACAGGCGTGAGCCACCGTGCCCGGCCGGTCAAGGCCTTCTAAAAGCCAAACCTGAAAGGTTTCCAGTAACAGTTGACTCGATGGTAATTCAATCACACAAACAAACACAACAAAAGACACAACTATCAGATTTTCAGGATCGCCTCAAAAACACCGTCTAACATTAGGGAGTTCAAAAAGGCGCGAAGTTTCATAAATCAAACTTTATTGAAATGTAGTTCCATCAACTTATAATTCTAATAGTATTAATAAATGCTAGGGCAGGTGGTGGCACGGAGATCCTGGGGCACAAGGACTGTCTTTAAAAGCTTTGCTTGCTGTACCCTTTGGAGCTGCCTCCTGGTCCCCTCACCCCCTGCCGGCCTTTTAAGAGCCCATCCTGGGCAGCACTTCAGGGGCAAACAGCCTGGATGCCCAGTTACAGACAGACATCCGTGCCTGGAGGAGGAGGCCGCCTCTGAGTGCAGGAGGAGCTGCTGGAATTCTTCCTCCCAGCCTCCTCTTCATGCTCTCCAGCACCTCCTGCACCCAGATAGACCCCACCAGCAGCAGGAGAGTAAACAGGCCCTGCAGCAGCAGAACTGCGGCTCTAATGAATGACAGAAGCCTCTCTCCAAACCCAGGCTCTCCGCCTCCATGTTTGCCACCGTGCCCAGGACTACGGGCAGCATAGGAGCTGCTGGCTGGGGCCGTGCTGGTCACCCCCTCCCTGCCGCCTCTCTCTCTTGCCACATGTTCAACTTCAGGGCTAAGGCCAGTGGCTACAGCAGGTGCCGTGATTTCAGGCAGCTCCTCCTTGGGCTCGTCCTGGGCTGGAGCTCCCTCCACCTCCAGCGCTGTCTCTGGAGGGGGCTCTTCCCATGCTGGTTCTGGCTCAACAGCTGGTGCTGGAAGTGCTCCTATTTCTGCATATGGAGTAAGAGCTGAAAAAGGAGAAAGGGTCACCAGCGTCAGTCACTTTCCACTGGAATTTCCAAACACAGAAACAACCTCCCTGAATTTAAAGGAGTTCCAGCCCCTAAACACCGACCCCGCAAAATCTTCCAGACTGCAGGCCACCTCACCATGTGCCTGTGCCTCCATGGGCTCCCGAATCTCCTCCTGGAGGAGGGCAGTGTGCAGATGCAGCCCCGATGGGATCTCTGGTGTGGCCTGGCCCGCTAGGGCCTGCCCCGGGCTGCCCTGTGGTACCTGGGTGCGCCTTCTTACAAAGGGCCACAGGCGTCTGGGGTGAGGGATGAGCCTTCTTCGGCATCGTCGGAAAAGGCTCTCACTCCCTCCATTCCTGAAGCAGCAGCCTCTCGAAGTGGGGAAGCAACATGAGAACATCTTGCTCTCTCCAGCGTCTCCCACCAAGTGAGCTGGTTACTGGGCTGACTCTAGGATCTGGGCGCCTGGTTACCAGAGTTCTAAGTTCTGTTGGATGTGTCATCAAGGAAGTGAGGTCGCTTCTTTAAGGTTCCGTCCCCTTGGCCCCTTCCTTCCATAAGACCTCCTCAGGACTCCACTAGGCTGCTGACTGCTCACCCTCCCTCCAGGACAACTCCTTACCTAGACACTATTATGTCCACCCAGGGCCTGCTTGGACACCTGTGCCTGATGTTCACCGGGGGCCGGTTGTCCTCCTCAGGTCTGATGTCCACCTAGGGCCTGATGTCTGCCTTGGGCGTATGTCCCTCTTGGGGCCTTGTGTTCTCCTGGTGACTGTATCCAGCTGTGGCCTGATGGCCTACTGGGTCTTGTTGTTCACCTTGTGGTCTAATGCCCACCTGGGGCCTACGTATCTACCTAAGGCGTGGTGTCTGCCTGCGGCCAAATGTCCACGAGTGTGGTGTTCAACATGGGCCTGCTGTCCAACTAGGACCTCGTTGTTCATCTGGGGCCTGGTTGTCAACTTGGGGCCTGGTGTACACTTTGAGTCCAGGGTCCATCTGGGGCCTGATGTCTGCCTGGAGGACTGACGTCCTCCTGGGTGAGGTGGGAGCGTCTCTGGAGCTCAAGAGGTCAAGGCTACAGTGAGCTGTGATGCGCCACTGCCCTCCAGTCTGGGTGACAGTGAGACCCTGTCTCAAACAAGCAAAAAATCACACAAATTATATAGCTATACAAAAATATTTTCTTTCTTTTTTTTTTTTTGAGATGGAGTCTCGCTCTGTCCCCCAGGCTGGAGTGCATTGGCGCGATCTCGGCGCACTGCAAGCTCTACCTCCCAGGTTCACGCCATTCTCCTGCTATGCCACCAAGCCTGGCTAATTTTTTTTGTATTTTTAGTAGAGATGGGGTTTCACCATGTTAGCCAGGATGGTCTCGATCTCCTGATCTTGTGATCCACCCGCCTTGGCCTCCCAAAGTGTTGGGATTGCAGGCGTGAGTCACTGTGCCCGGTCCCGGCTAATTTCTTGTATTTTTAGTACAGATAGGGTTTCACTGTGTTAGCCAGGATGGTCTCGATCTCCTGACCTTGTGATCTATCCGCCTTGGCCTCCCAAAGTGCTGGGATTACAGGTGTGAGCCATCACACCCGACCTAAAAATTAACCGAAGATTTAAATGGAAGACGTCAAAATATAAAAATTCTAGAATAAAACCTAGGAAATACCATTCTTGATATTGGCCTTGCCAAAGAATTTTTGGCTAAGTCCCCAAAAGCAACTGCAATAAAACCAAAAATTGACAAGTGGGATCTAATTAAACTAAAGAGCTTCTGCACAGCAAAAGAAACTATCAGTGGAGTCAACAGACAACTTTCAGAATGAGAGAAAATATTTGCAAACTGTGTATCTAATATCCAGAATTGATAAAGAAAACTTAAATCAACAAGCAAAAACAAAACAAAACAAAACAAAACAAAAAAACACAAAAAACCCATTAACAAATGAGTAAAGAGCATGAACAGGCACTTCTCAAAAGAGGACATACAAGTGGCCAACAAACACAGAAACAATTCTGATCATCACTAACCACTAGAGAAATGCAAATCTAAACTTCATTGAGATACCATACCATCTCATACCAGTCAGAACGGCTACTATTAAAAAGTCAAAAAATAACAGCTGCTGGCGAGGCTGTGGAGCAAAGCGAACACTTATACACTATTGGGAGTGTAAATTAGTTCAGCCACTGTGGGAAGCAGTTTCGAGATTTCTCAAAGAACCTCAGAGTTACCATTCAACCTAGCAATCTTATTACTCGGTACGTACTCAAAGGAAAATTCTACCAAAAAGAGACATGCATTTGCATATTCATCACATTATTCACAATAGCAAAAATATGGAATCAACCTAGAGGCCCATCGATGGTGGAATGGATAAAGAAAATAAGGTAGATACACACCATGGAATACTACACAGCCATAAAAAAGACGGAAACCATATCCTCTGCAACAAGATGGACACTGCTGGAGGCCATTATTCTTTTTTTCTTTTTTTTTTTTTTTTTGAGATAGAGTCTCACTCTGTCACCCAGGCTGGAATGCAGTGGTGTGATTTTGGCTCACTGCAAGCTCCGCCTTCCAGGTTTACTCCTGCCTCAGCCTCCCGAGTAGCTGGGACTACAGGCGCCCGCCACCACGTCTGGCTAATTTTTTTGTGTTTTTAAGTAGAGACAGGGTTTCACCAAGTTAGCCAGGATAGTCTCCATCTCCTGACCTCATGATCTGCCCGCCTCGGCCTCCCAAAGTGCTGGGATTACAGATGTGAGCCACCGTGCCTGGTGGAGGCCATCATTCTAAGTGACCAATGCAGGAACAGAAAACCTTACCATGCTTTCTCATTTATAAATGGGAGCTTAATAGTGAGTACATAGAGACACAAAGATAGGAACAATAAACACCGGGAACTCCAAAAGGGGTGAGGAAGGGCGGGGGGACAGGGCCTGAAAAGCTAACCATTAGGTACTATGCTCACTACCTGGGTGATGGGATCAACTGTACCCCAAACCTCAGCATCACACAATATACCACTGTAACAAACCTACACGTGTACCCCTTGAATCTAAAAGTTGTGTGTAGGGGGACGGGGGAGGAGAGAGGCAGAGAGAGAGGAAAAGACATAACCTACCATGGTGTACTTCGGTGAGGTAAAAGGAAAGTTATTTTAAGTAAAATGCACATGGCTACTGGTGTTTCAAAAAGACTATGAACCATCTGACTTTCACCAGTTTTTATTTATTTTTTTATTATTTTTTCTTATTTTTTTGGCTTCCTAATTCTGAGAGAACAAGCCTATGACAATCAGGTCTAGACACACAATATTTTGTGAAGAGTGTAAAGCAGACACATATTTACATTTGTAATTTTCTAGATGTAACGATGAATGAATATAACTCTTCAGGCAAAATGAGTTTTGGGTTTCCTCAAATGTAAAATGTTTTGCAAACTAATGCAGGATGTTCATAAAAACAAACCAAAAAATCACTCCAACAGGAAATACTATCCTTGTGATCATGACTGGAAACTTCGTGTCTTTTCCCTGCAACCTCATTATGACAAGGTTACATCAGAGAAGGCCACTCCTTCTGAAAATGTTAATCGCCTTTTCATATCCACTATAACAGCTGCCTCGGTCCATTTCTGTCAGGTGGGGGGCAGCACAGGTGCCATCAGGGATGTCATTCTTGAATGACGGCTCTTTTTAACTGCTATCTTCAATTTCCCATTACCATTCCTATCTCCTTTACGCTAAACCTCCTGCAAGCAGCCGCCTCCCTCTGGCTTCTCATTCTTTCCCGTGTCCTCAGCAGCGTGGTTGATGGGGTGGGGGAGGCTGTAACCGAGGGACTTCCTTCATGGCACGGTCCAGTCTCGGAACGGGGTGGGGGCAGAGTGGACAGGGTAGCAGGAAGAACAAACAGGGCTCTCAGGCCAGTTTACGCTTTGGGAGCCTCTATTATTGGTCAGTAGCGTGACAGGTTTTTCTTTAGTTTTTTGGAGACAGGGTCTCCCTCCATCACCCAGACTGGAGTGCAGTGGTGCTATCACAGCTCACTGCAGCCTGAAACTCCTGGGCTCAAGCAATCCTCCCGCCTCAGCCTCCCAGAGTGCTGGGATTCTTTTTCTTTTATAGCATAAACTGAAACGAAGGTTAAGGCAAAGATACAAGATGTATATACTCTGGGTAGATTCTGGTTTTAAGACATCTGACTGCTGATATGACAGAAACTCCCAGCCCTGCTAATTTACTATCTGGGCTAGGTCTTGGCTGAGGCTAGGTTTTTGTTTTATTCTTTTTGTTTGTTTGTTTGTTTGTTTGAAGACGGAGTCTCGCGTAGCCGCCCAAGCTGGAGTGCAGAGGTGTGATCTCCGCTCACTGCAACCTTCGCCCCCGGGGTTCAAGCGATTTTCCTGCCTCAGTTTCCCGAGTAGCTGGGATTACAGGCACGCACCACCACGCCCAGCTAATTTTTGTATTTTTAGTAGAGACAGGGGTTTCAGCATGTTGGCCAGGATGGTCTCAATCTCTTGACCTCCAAAAGTATAAACTTTGAGAGGCTCTCACAGTTTATACTTTGGGAGGCTCCCTAAGTATAAACTTACCTCAGATCCCTGTTGGCTCCACTTTTTCTTTTCCTCCCTTCCTCCCTTCCTTCCTTCCTTTTTCCTTCCTCCCTTCCTTCCTTCCTTTTTCCTTCCTTCCTTCCTTCCTTTTATTTCCCCACCCATCTCTCTTTCCAATTTTTTTTTTTTTTTTTTGAGACAGGGTCTTGCTCTGTCACCCAGGCTGGAGTGCAGTGACATGATCGCAGCTCACTGTAGCCTCGACCTCCCAGGCTCAGATGATCCTCCCACCTCAGCCTCCAGAGTAGCTAGGGATACAGGTGTGAGCTATTGTGCCCAGCCATTTTCTAGCTTTTCGTTAAGGTAACTGACAAAACTGCTTGATTATAAAATTGTGCTTATTATAAAATTTGTGCTGCTTTAAGCCACTAAATTTGTAGAAATTTGTTACAACAGCAGTAAGAAACTAACACAATAGACAAAAGGTTTCAATAAACACTTGAGCAAACAAGATGTGCAGACAGAAAACAGGACATGAAGAGATGCTCGATCTTATTAGTCATTAGGAAAATGCAAATTGAAACCAAAATGAGACACTACGACACTACATTGACTAGAATGAATAAAATTAAAATGACTGATCACACCAAGAGTTGGCAAAAATAAGGAGGAATTGGAACTCTCATACAACTGGTGTGAAGGCACATGGTACAATCCCTTTTAAAGATGGTTTGACAGTTCCTTAAAAAGCTACATTGGGAAACCCCGTCTCTACTAAAAATACAAAAAATTAGCTGGGTGTGGTGGCACGCGTCTGTAATCCCAGTTACTCAGGAGGCTGAGGCAGGAGAATTGCTTGAACCCAGGAGGCAGAGGTTGCAGTGAGCTGAGATCGCACCACTGCACTCTGGCTGGCTGACAGAGCAGAACTCTGTCTCAAAAAACAAAACAAAAAAGCGCGCATATGATCCAACCATTCCACTCCTAGTATTTACCCAAGAGTAAAGAAAGTTTATATCCTGCTGGGTGCGGTGGCTCATGCCTGTAATCCCAGTACTCTGGGAGGCTGAGGCAGGCAGATCACGAGGTCAGGAGATCGAGACCATCCTTACTAACACGGTGAAACCCCGTCTCTACTAAAAATACAAAAAAAAATTAGCTGGGCATGGTGGCGGGCACCTGTAGTCCCAGCTACTCGGGAGGCTGAGACAGAAGAATGGTGTGAACCCGGGAGGCGGAGCTGGCAGTGAGCCGAGATCGGGCCACTGTAATCCAGCCTGGGTGACAGAGCAAGACTTCATCTCAAAAAAAAAAAAAAAAAAGTTTATATCCAAAGACATGCATATAAATTTCCATAACAGCTTTATTGGTAATAGCCAAAACCCAGAAACAACATAAATCCAACAGGTAAAGTTGGATAAACAAATTAGGATATAGCCAAAACAATTGACTATAATAATGATTATTACTATAGTTATGTATTTTTACTTCTATACCTTTTGGGGTACAAGTGGTTTTTGGTTACGTGGACGAGTTGAATAGTGGTGGAGTCTGAGATTTTAGTGCAACTGTCACCCAAGGATTGTGCATTGCACCCAATATGTAGTTTTTCATGTTTCACCCTCCTCCCACCCTCCCCCATCTGAGTCTCCAATGTCCATTATAACACTCTGTATGCCTTTGCACACCCCTAGCCTACCTTCCACTTATAAAGGAGAATATATGATATTTAGTTTTCCACTCCTGAGCTACTTCACTTAGACAATGGCCTCCAGTTCCAGCCAAGTTGCTGCAAAAAAACATTATTTCATCCTGGGCGTGGTGGCTCACACCTGTAATCCCAGCACTTTGGGAGGCTGAGATGGGTGCATCACCTGAGGTCAGGAGTTTGAGACCAGCCTGACCAATACAGTGAAACCCTGTCTCTACTAAAAATACAAAAATTAGCTGGGCGTGGTGGCGTGCGCCTGTAGTCCCAGCTACTCGGGAGGCCGAGATAGAAGAATTGCTTCAACCCAGGCAGAGGTTGCAGTGACCCGAGATCGCGTCCCTGCACTCAGCCTGGGCGACAGAGCAAGACTCCGTCTCAAAACAAAAACAAACAGAAGACAAAAAAACTCCCTATTATTTCATTCTTTTTTATGGCTGAGTAGTATTCCATGGTGTGTTTATACCATGTTTTCTTTATTGAAGATGACGATGAACATTGATTTATTGAAAATCAATTGATGGGCACTTAGATTGGTTCCTTATCTTTGCAATTGTGAATTGTGCTGTGATAAACATAGGCATGCAGGGTTCTTTCTGATATAACAACTTACTTTCCATTGGGCAGATAACCAGTAGTGGGATTGCTGGATTGAATGGTAGATCTACCTTTAGTTCTTTGAGAAATCTCCATACTGTTTTCCATAGAGGAATATTATTTAGCAATGAAAGCAATGAACTACTGATACACGCTACAACATAGCTGAATCTCAAAATATGCTGAATGAAAGCAGACAAAAGGGCAGGTGTGGGGGCTCATGCCTATAATCCAGGACTTTAGGAGGCCGAGGCGGACAGATCGCTTGAGGTTAGGAGCTCAAGATCAGCCTGACCAACATGGTGAAACCCTATCTCTACTAAAAATACAAAAAATTAGCCGGGTGTGGTGGTGCACGCCTGTAATCCCAGCTACTCAGGAGGCTGAGGCAGGAGAATCGCTTGAACCCAGGAGGCGGAGGTTGTAGTGAGCTAAGATTGCACCACTGCACTCCAGCCTGGGCAACCGAGCAAGACTGAATCTCAAGAAAAAAAAAAAAAAAAAAAAAAAAAAAAAAAAAGAAGAGGCCGAGCGTGATGCCTCACGCCTGTAATCCCAGGACTTTGGAGGCCGAGGTGGGTGGATCACGTGTGATCAGGAGTTCGAGACCAGCCTGGCCAACATGGGGAAACCGTCTTCACTAAACATACAAAAATTAGCTGGGTGTGGTGTGCAAGCCTATAGTCCCAGTTACTTGGGGGGCTGAGGCAGGAGAATCGCTTGAACCCGGGAGGCGGAGGTTGCAGTGGGCTGAGATCATGCCACTATACTCCAGACTGGGTGACAGAGTGAGACTCTGTCTCAGGAAAAAAAAAAAAAAAAAAAACCACAGACAAAAAAGAGGACATACGGTATGATTCCCTTGGCATAAAATTACAGAAAATATAACTCATATACAGTGACAGAGTGCAGATAGTAGCCTCCTGGGAATGGGGTGTAGGGAAAAGAGCAGAGGGAGGAATTACAAAAGAGCATGAGGAAACTTGGGGACGATGTATATGCTCATTATCTTACTGGTGCTGATTGTTTCGTGGGTGATAAAAATGTCAGAACTTATCAGACTGTACATTGTAAATATGCAGTTTATTATATATCAACTATACCCCAGTCAAGTGTTTTTTAATTTAAAAAATAAATGGGCAAAAGGTGTGACAGACATTCACCAAAGAAATACAGATGGCAAGGCCTGGCATCGTGGTTCATGCCTGTAATCCCAGCACTTTGGGAGGCTGAGGCGGGCAGATCACGAGGTCAGGAGTTCAAGACCAGTCTGGCCCACATGGTGAAACCCCTTCTCTATTAAAAATACAAAAATTAGCCATGTGTGGTGGTGGGCACCTGTAATCCCAGCTACTCAGGAGGCTGAGGCTCAAGGATTGCTTGAACCTGGGAGGCAGAGGTTACAGAGCTGAGATCATGCCATTGCACTCCAGCCTGGGCGACACAGGGAGACTCCATCTCAAAGAAAAAAAAAGGTAAAAGTACATTTTATGTCTATTTTATAACTTCCTCCCTAAAAAAAATGTTAAGAGTCAAGATCTCACTCTGTCTCCCAGGCTAGGGTGCAGTGGGGCGATCAAAGCTATCAGCCTGTTCACCCTGCCGCGTAGCTGGGACTACAAATGGTGCCACCATGCCCCGTTCATTTTTTATTTTTTATTTTTTTTCCCCTTGGTAGAGATGGGATTCCGCTATACTGCCTAGGCTGGTCTCGAACTCACAGAGTGAGACTCCGTTTCAAAAAAAAAAAAGGAAAACGCTAATTTAAGATTTTATTTTACAGCTAGGTGTCGTGGCCTCATGCCTGTAATCCCAGCACTTTGGGAGGCCTGGCCAATACGTCGAAACTCTGTCTCTACTAAAAATACAAAAATCAGCTGGGTGTGGTGGCGGGCTCCCCTAATCCCAGCTACTCGGGAGCCTTAAGCAGGAGAATCATTTGAACCCAGGATGGTGGAGGTTGAAATGAGCCAAGATCGAGCTACTGCACTCCAGCCTGGGAGCAAGACTCCTGTCTCAAAAAAAAAAAAAAAAAAAAAAAATTTGTTTTACTAAAGAAACAAAAGAAATAAGCATAGCACCCAAGATTAATTAGGAGAATACTAAATTGCTTTCCTTTGTAACAGGCATGTGCGACCACGCCCAGGGAATTTTATATTTTTATTAGAGACAGGGTTTCTCCATGTTTGCCAGGCTGGTCTCGAACACCTCGGCCTCCTAAAGTGCTGGGATTACAGGCGTGAGCCACTGCGCCCTGCCGAGAGTCTATTCCAGCTGCTAGAAGGCACCTGAGGCTGGGCGTGGTGGGTCACGCCTGTACTCCTAGCACTTTGGAAGGCCAATCCCTTGAGCTCACGAGCTTGAGATCAGCCTGGGCAATATGGTAAGACCCTGTCTCTAAAAAAATAAGACCGGGCACAGCGGTTCACGCCTGCAATCCCAGCACTTTTGGAGGCCGAGGCGGGCGGATCCCCTGAGGTCAGAAGTTCGAGACCAACCTGGCTAACACGGTGACACCCTGTTTGTACAAAAAAAAAAAAAAAAAAAAAGCCTGGCGTGGCGTGTGCCTCGGGAGGACTTAGACAGGAGAATCGCCTGAGCCCGGGACACGGACATTGCTACGTTAGACACAACAGACCCCGAGACCCCGTCCGGGGGTGGGGTGACGGGCGTGAAACGACGTTAAAAGAGGCAGCGGGAAGGCGAGAAAAGGCGCAAGGCGAGAAAAAGCAGACAACAGAAGCGTACCGCAAAATCCTCTCCGCTCTAAAACTGAAAAAGCACCCGCACCAAACACACAATCTATCTCATATGAAATGGAAAAAAACACGTTCTTTAAGGCATCAGAAAAACTTAAAACACACACAAACACCAAATAAATATTACCCTACTGCCTATCATTACACCACCAAGAAAGAAAACCACTCAGACAGTGTTCTTCCCCTCTTACTCCTCAGAATGGAGAGAAGAACGATCATCAATGGCAAATGGCGGTTGCAATAAAACAACACCAAACGCCGGCTTCACGCTCAGGAAAGAACACTACGTCTCTTCCTCGTGGTTTATCGGTGCTCTACACGTTCAGAGAAACTTCTCTAGTAACAAACTATAGAAATGATCCCTGAAAGTATAGTCTTACCGTCCAACTGGCAGCCTCTGCTGGGTCTACATCTGCTGCTAACTTTTAACTGATGGCGAGATACTTTCGCTATTTCCGATGCCATTAGGAAACAAATAGAAAAATAATTTGCCAACAAACATCTTTTGAAATATTATCACTTGACAAATTTTAACGTTTTAGGCGGAAATGTGATTTTAAAAAATTGTTTTAAGAAGTTTAAAAACAGGCATGCTTAATTAGCATAATACCGAATGACAGCCAATCACAGCCTGAATTTTTAAAGCGGGAAGTGTGTGCTCCTGGTGTGCTGCGGCCGCCTGTAATCCGGTAATCCCAGCGTTTTGAAAGCCCACACTGAGGCCCAGTCGGGAAGATCCTTTGTTCTGTGAGTTCGAGATCAGCCTAGGCAATCTAGCCTAGGCATCTCGTCTCTACCAAGGGAAAAAAGGAAAAAATAAATAAAAAATGAGCTGAGTGTGGTGGCACCGCCTACAGTCCCAGCTACTCCGGAGGCTGAAGCGAGATGATTGCTTGAGCTAGGGAAGCTGGCTGAGTCCGAAACTGCAGTGCACTTTGACAGACAAGAGAGAGATCTTGATTCTTTTTGTTTGTTTGTTTGTTTTTTGGTTTTTTTTGAGACAGAGTCTCGCTCTGTTGCCCAGGCTGGAGTGCAGTGGCGCGATCTCGGCTCACTGCAAGCTCCGCCTCCCGGGTTCACGCCATTCTCCTGCCTCAGCCTCCCGAGTAGCTGGGACTACAGGTGCCCACCACCGCGTCTGGCTAATTTTTTGTATTTTTAGTAGAGACAGGGTTTCACAGTGTTAGCCAGGATGGTCTTGATCTCCTGACCTCGTGATCCGCCCGCCTCCGTCTCCCAAAGTGCTGGGATTACAGGCGTGAGCCACCGCGCCCGACGAGATCTTGACTCTTAAAATCATTTTTTTAGGGGGGATGGTACAAAAGAGACATAAAATGTACTTTTTTTTTTTTTTTTTTGAGATGCAGTCTCGCTCTGTCGCCCAGGCTGCAGTTTGCAGTGGTGCGATCTCGGCTCACTGCAACCTCCAACTCCCAGATTCAAGCAATTCTCCTGCCTCAGCCTCCCGAGTAGGTGGGACTACAGATGTGCACCGCCACGCCTTGCTAATTTTTGTATTTTTAATAGAGACGGGGCTTCACTATGTTAGCCAGGATGGTCTCTACCTGTTGACCTCGTGATCTGCCCGCCTTGGCCTCCCAAAGTGCTGGGATTACAGGCTTGAGCCACCATGCCCGGCAAAGTGTATCATTTTAACCATTTTTCACATATACAATTCAGTGGCATTAAGTACATTCATGTAACCAATGGCATGTAACCATCACCATAATTTATCTCCAGAACTTTCTTGACATCCCAAACTGAAACTCTACCCAAAAAACAAACTTCCCTTTCCTCCCTCTGCCCAGACCCTTGTAAGCACTATTGTACTTTCCGTCTCTATGAATTTGATTCTTGTAGGTATCTCTATAAGTGGAAACATGCAATATTGTCCTTTTGTATCTGGCTTATTTCACTTAGAATTATGTTTTCAGGCCGGATGCAGTGGCTCACGCTTATAATCCCAGCACTTTGGGAGGCCGAGGTGGGCAGATCATCTGAGGCTGGCAGTTGGAGACTAGCCTGACCACCATGGAGAAACTCTGTCTCTACTAAAAATAAAAAATTAGCCGGGCATGGTGGCGCATGTCTGTAATCGCAGTTACTTGGGAGGCGGAGGCAGGAGAATCGCTTAAACCCGGGAGGCAGAGGTTTGTGGTGAGCCGAGATTGTGCCATTGCACTCCAGCCTGGGCAACAAGAACAAAACTCCATCTCAAAAAACAAAAAAAAAGAGCAGAAATTATGGTTTCAAAGTTCATGTTGTAACATGTTGCAGAATTTCACTCCTTTTTCAGGCTGGAGTGCAATGATTCATGACAGCTCACTGCAGCCTTGACCTCCAATGCTCAGGTGATCCTCCCATATCAGCCTCCTGAGTAGCTGGGAATACAGACACATGCCATCACAACTGGCTAATTTTGTTTTTTTTGGTTTTTCTTTTTTGTTTTGTAGGGAGAGGATTTCACCACATTGCCCAGGCTGGTCTTGAACTTCTGGGCTCAAGGGAACCACCCAACTAGGCCTCTCAAAGTGGTGGGACTACAGGCGTGAGCCACCACACTCAGCTGTTTTCTTTTTTTCTTTTTCTTTTTTTTGAGATGGAGTCTCACTCTGTCACCAGGCTGGAGTGCAGTGGCATGATCTTGGCTCACTGCAACCTCCGCCTCCACGGTTCAGGTGATTCTCCTGCCTCAGCCTGCCTGAGCTGGGACTACAGGTGCGTGCCACCACGCCCAGCTAATTTTTGTATTTTTAATAGAGATGGGTTTTCACCATGTTGGCCAGGCTTGTCTCGAACTTCTGACCTCAGGTGATCCGCCCACCTCAGCCTCCCAAAGTGCTGGGATTATAGGCATGAGCCACTGCGCCCTACTCCAGCTGTTTTCTTAATTACATTTTTGAATTGTTCCATAATTGGACCTGGTGCGGTGGCTCAGGTCTATAATCCTAGCACGTTGGGAGGCTGAGGTGGGCGGATCACCTGAGGTCAGGAGTTTGAGACCAGCCTGGTCAATATGATGAAATCCCATCTCTACTAAAAATACAAAATATAAAAATTACCCGTGCTTGGTGGTGGGTGCCTGTAATCCCAGCTACCTGGGAGGCTGAGGCAGGAGCATCTGTACTCCAGCCTGGGCAACAAAAGCAAAACTCTTCAAAAAATAAATAAATAAATAAATAAATAATAAGAAAACCCTCGGCCGGGCGCGGTGGCTCAAGCCTGTAATCCCAGCACTCTGGGAGGCCGAGGCGGGCGGATCACGAGGTCAGGAGATCGAGACCATCCTGGCTAACACGGTGAAACCCCGTCTCTACTAAAAAAAATACAAAAAACTAGCCGGGCGAGGTGGCGGGTGCCTGTAGTCCCAGCTACTCGGGAGGCTGAGGCAGGAGAATGGCGTAAACCTGGGAGGCGGAGCTTGCAGTGAGCTGAGATCCGGCCACTGCACTCTAGCCCGTGCCACAGAGCGAGACTCGGTCTCAAAAAAAAAAAAAAAAAAAAGAAAACCCTCAACTTGGTTTGGTGAGTTGATCTTGTGTTCTGAAACTTTGCTGAATTTGCTTATTAGCTCTAGTAATTTTTGTATGTGTGTTATTTGGGATTTTCTATATTTATAGAGATAGTTTTGTTTCTTCTTTCCCAATTTGGTGCCTCTTATTGCTTTTTCTTACCTAAAGGCTTTGGCTACAACTTCTAGTAAGATGTTGACTAGCAGTGGTAAAAGTGAACCTCTGTGTCTTGTTCCTGATCTAAGGGGGCGTATGATGATAACTATGGGTTTTTCGCAAATACCTTTTATTTTACTTATTTATTTTTTTCTTTTGAGACGGAGTTTCGCTCCTGTTGCCCAGGCTGGAGTGCAATGGCACCATCTCGGCTCACCGCAACCTCTGCCTCCTGGGTTCAGGCGATTCTCCTACCTCAGCCTCCCGAGTAGCTTGGATTACGGGCATGTGCCACCATGCCTGGCTAATTTTGTATTTTTAGTAGATAATGGTTTCTCATGTTGGTCAGGCTGGTCTCAAACTCCCGACCTCAGGTGATTCACCCACCTCGGCCTTCCAAAGTGCTGGGATTATAGGCACAAATCACCACGCCCAGCCCAATTTCTGTTCTTTTTCTTTCTTTCTTTCTTTCTTTTGAGATGGAATTTCACTTTGTTGCCCAGGCTGGAGTGCAATGGCACCATCTCGGCTCACCACAACCTCCGCCTCCTGGGTTCAGGCGATTCTTCTACCTGGGCCTCCCAAGTAGCTTGGATTACAGGCATGTGCTATCGTGCCCAGCTAGTTTTGTACTTTTATTAGAGTCGGTGTTTCTCCATGTTGGTCAGGCTGGTCTCGAACTCCCGACCGCCGGTGATTCACCCGCCTTGGGCTCCCAAAGTGTTGGGATTACAGGCGTGAGCCACCACACCCAGCCTAATTTCTTTTCTTTTAAGCCACCTAGTTTGTGGGACTTTGTTACAGCAGCTCTAGAAAGTTAATGCAAGCACCTCCTATGTGCTAGACACTGCACCAAACACTGGAGACTTTAGTGGTAAAGAAGATGGCTAAGACTCTAGTCCTTAAGAGTGCTCAGGCCGGGCGCAGTGGCTCACACCTGTAATCCCAGCACTCTGGGAGGCCGAGGCGGGTGGATCACGAGGTCAGGAGATTGAGACCATCCTGCCTAACACGGTGAAACCCCGTCTCTACTAAAAAAAATACAAAAAATTAGCCGGGCGTGGTGGCGGGTGCCTGTAGTCCCAGCTACTGGGGAGGTTGAGGCAGGAGAATGGCATGAACCTGGGAGGCAGAGCTTGCAGTGAGCCGAGATAGCGCCACCGCACTCCAGCCTGGGTGACAGAGCGAGACTCCATCTCAAAAAAAAAAAAGAAAAGAAAAAAAAAAGAGTGCTCAGTCCAATGAGAGAGGCAGACTTGTCTTTCGCTGTCTTTGGTATGAAAAGAATTCTGCTTTTCCCAGACGCTGCCTGGACAGATCTTAGCTCGGCATCTAAGGCCCATCCTGACCACCCTTCCACCCTCTCCACTTTCACATTCCTCTAACCACTGTTTGCAGTTAACGTTTTGGAAACGATGAACTCTTTCTGGTTCACCCAACAGGCAACGTTGTTCTGTGCCTCCTCTGACTCACAATGAGCCAGTCACTTGTCTGTCTCCCCTCCAGATTGCAAGGATAGGTCTTATGGATTTTTATTTTATTTTTTTGAGACGGAATCTTGTTGTCACCCTGGCTGGAGTGCAGTGGTGTGATCTCAGCTCACTGCAACCTCTGCCTTGCAGGCTCAAGTGATTCTTGTGCCCCAGCCTCCTGAGTAGCTGGGATTATAGGCACACACCACCATGCCCGGCTAATTTTTTGTATTTTTAG